GGGGGTGATATTTGATTCAGGCTTGACATTCGACCCACATGGGCAGCATATTGTCAAAACATCTTTCTTTCACCTCAGATATATCGCTAGACTGTGCCCGTTGTTATCACTGTGGCTGAAAAGCTGGTCAACACATTTGTGTTCTCTCGAATTGACTACTGAAATGCTCTACTCGCTGGAGTATATAAATCCACTTTGAACAAACTCCAGATCTGTCCAAAATTCGACAGCCAGAATCCTGACCAGGTCTAGTGCAAGTGATCACATTACTCCTGTCTGAGAGAATTTAGAATCCCTGGTGTTTCTTTGTCTTAAATGTGTTATCACCCATCTTTATGAACCATTTTTTTGTTGTTTTGTGTTCAATCTGTGCACTGGATTTTCAGAGATGACAAACAAGCATGGTCCCACATGCAGTACAGTAATAAAGAACTGTGACCAATCGTCACGGTATGGCAGACTTGGTACCTAAACAAACGGAATAAATCCAGCATTCGTATAATAAAGGAAGAGAGGAGAAGAAAAAAGGAAACCAGAGGTGTGAAAGTCAGAAGGAAAAGAGGAGATAAAGCAGAGAAAGGAGAGAAGGGGGGAGTCACAATCTTCAAGTCTGTCAACTGTCTGTGTCAAACTTCTCCACTTCACTAGTGAGACGTCAGACTTTGCTCCATCAGGAACAACCTGTTCCCCACCTTCACTCACCAGGGAGGGGTGTGATGCACTTTCTCCAGCTTGAGAGAAGTAGGTTTTTTCCTCTGTGGCCTTGACTGCAGTTTTTATCTGCCTGGATATTCTCTTTTAAACTTCTTTAAGAGTTTGCAGTTCGTGTTCTTTTGTTTCAACTGAATCTTTTACTTTCAGTGTATTGCGCTTTGGGAATATACCATTAGAGGGAATATATAAAATAAAGTTTATTCTTATTCCTACAACATCCAGATAATAACAGTCAGAAAAGCAGAATGTGCACTGAGATGAAATGAACAAACTTACCTTCAGTTACACCCCAGAGGACAAATGAAATAGACAATACGACATTAGAAGCAATGAGGAAGGTCCTAACAAGCTCATCTTTATCTGCAGAAAGATAAAAGATAAAAGATGAGAAAAAAGAAAAAAATATTTAGTTAAGATGACAGTCAGATGTCAAGTTTCATGTATTTATCATTTAGCAGGAAATTCAGTAATGTCTCCATTACTGCTTCAGTTCTATAGCTCCACTCTTGCCCTGCACTCCTCTCTGCTCCAAGAGATTCAGTGTTGACTTGAACACACACATGCCTTTAAACAGTAAACAATATACTGTCTACAGAACAGTCAAACTGCAGGAGTACTAATTCTAGACTTTACACACCTAAACTGCCTCCAGTGACAAACAGATAACTAGACCTCTGTTTCTTCTGTTCTTTAAGAACTTCATAAAACTGAGAATTCTACTACAGAGAAGTTCTGAAAAGCTTCCACACAGGTACTGGTGATGTCACTGTGGTCTCTACAGAGGTCCATCCAAGACGAACAGGATAAAAACAGGAATCGGGTCAGGACCTGCACTGGAACGGGAACAGGAACAGAAACTAAAACCTTAACGGGACGAGACGCTTCCAGGTCCTGGACTCGCCTGATGTGGAAACCAGAGCAGAGCCCGGAACTGAGTCAGCGTCTGGCTTTTAAGGGGATTTGAAAAGGGGGCTGGAACAGAGAGCAGGTGCGGGAGATAAGTAAAAAACAAGGAAAGGCTGTAGCCTTAAGAGGAGAGATTTACAATCGTGACAGAGCCACTGGGTGATGTTACTGTGGTCTCCACAGACCTACAGGGTGATCTCACTGTGGTCTCCAGAGAGTTACTGTGTGATGTCACTGTGTGATGTCACTGTGGTCTCCACAGGGCTACTGGGTGATGTGACTGTGGTCTCCATAGGAACTGCTCCACATTATTGTGTCTACAGGACTGACAAAGGGGTCAACACTGGAGAGTACTGGACAGCTAAGCTGAGATCTCCTGCATCTAAACTTACTGTGGACCAACATAAGCCCTATTTGGCTCTCTACACAGGTGAAAATAAAAGATGTTACACCACTTTCTCTGTTCTTAGTTATTAAATGGACAGACAACGTAAATCTAACTAATAAGATAATTTAAAATAAAAAATGTGCTTACCAAAACAGTAGCCAATCAACATTAGAATCAAAAGTACTGGTAAAGAAAAGGCCAAGACCAGTGCCCCCACATGTATTGAAGAAAAGCCTGAAGAGAGAACAGAACAGACCATTGAAAAACCCGGCTTCCTGCTTTCATCTGTACGTGCTGTGATGCCACAGGGGGCACAGACATCAGATGGGCACCTATATAGGTGTGGCCTGGCCCACAGCACAGTCAGTCTGACAGTTTAACAGTGTTTATTGTAATACCCAAATATTTGGAGAAAAATAAATTAAACTTCAAGAAAGCCTGAATTGTAGTTTGAGCTCTTGACTGACTTAAAGTTCCCTGTCTAAATACCCATAGTATGTTTCTCTTTCAAAAAACACTGTGTATCAAAAAAAAAATAATCTGCAGACTCACACTCCATATGCCCTGTCCACATCTGTTTTCCTTTCAGTGTCCTCCTCTGGTCCTTAGTTGAAATCCAGTTTAAATCTCCTCTCGTAGGTCTTACAGTTTTTATTTCTCACAGTTCTATTCTTTTATTCAAGTCTCTGCTTATATCGCCATTTTCCTACATTGGTCTAGTCGCGGTTATTTTAGTTCTCTTTCAGCCTCAGGTCTTTCTGACTGCTGAGGGGCGGTGTGTCTCCCCAGGAAGTGTGTGCCTTAAGACACTGCAGCTGTCAGGAGTTAATGTTGGAGACATCACTAATACAGACCTACTGGTTAGAAACCCCAGAGGGGGATACATCCCCACAAGGGGAGCCACTTAAGATCAAGGAACCCAGAGGGGATCTGGGACACAATGGCTGAGTGCCTCGTTAGTCAACACAGCCAGGTGGCGCAGGGTCCGGCTCCAGTGGCTACATGCAGACAGGAAGCCGAAGGGCAGCCTGGCAAAGCATCAGGTGAGCCAGTAGCTGCTACTGTAGTGTGTTCGTTACACTGAGGAGCAGATACAGCCCCAAACAAGTAGCAGAACCAGTTGTTGCTGTGTTCGACCACTAGTAAGGTAAGGAAAAGCTGCCCTGGCCAAACAGGAACAACCAAGGTTTACTCTGCTACTGCCTCTGAGGGACCAGCAACCGTGTCCTCTGCTCTGAGTCTGTAAGTGAAGGACTGGGGGTGCAGGCAGTGCCAATACTTCACCAGCCAGAGCCGCAGAAGGAGGAGATCCTACGACCCAGGACTGAGGCGTGATGAGAGTACGACAGGGAGTAAAGAGATACCGCTGGCAGCTCTCTGAGCTTGGGAACCCGTGAGCACAGGGCTCAGAGATCCTCGTGAGGTTATCACTCAGAGAGAGCGAGGGTACAAAAATGTGAAGGCGACCCAGGTACGACACTGGTCATCTTGAGTCCTAGTGTTTCCCCAATGAGGAGACACACAACTTCCACACTCTCAGAGAAGAGTACAAATATGATAAGTGCGACACTCAGGGGGACGTGCCTGGATCAGTGCCCTGAGAGTGAAATACTCAACATGCGGAGCTGTTATTTCTCCAGCCTGTAACAAACACTAAAGAGCTACAGGCTGATCTGCTCATCTCGCCTGGTGGGTAGTGAGTGGTGAATCGCTCACCAGGACATTAGATTGAACAACATGCCTGGGGAAAGAGCCTCCTGTTCTTAGTTTTAAATGCACATCCATGTAGTTTTCACACATATTCTCTGGTTAATGTTTCACAATTGATTCTGAAGAAATCCAGTTGACTTTATCAGTGATTATGAAGATTGTATTATTATTATTATTATTATTATTATTATTATTATTATTATTATTATTATTAT